GTGAAATGAACTTTCAGTTTTAAAACTGATTTTCCTCCCTAATCCTGACATTTTTCAGCCATTCCATTACTTTTTCCCCTCTTGTATTGGCCTGTCTCTCTCCATTGTCTCTATCTCCGATTTCTTTAATTTTTATTAAAATTTGTCATTTTTACTCTTCTCTGTGCTCGGAAAAAGATTTGTTACATCAATATTACCCTAACTAAACATTTAATATTGGCATTTAGGAGAGCAAAAACAACTTTAACATATGAAGAAGGAGGGCATTGGGGTTTTCGGTCGTGCCAAAAAAACTTCGGTTTTGGTGTTCATTGCGGTTTGCAGATTTTAGCATTTGATTTTCGGTTTTCAGTCCGTAAAAGTGACTAATGGGTTGTCCGATTTGGTATCCGATGTGGTTTCTTCTCAATTTGAGTGGCAATCATGCGCCTCCACTGATCTCTCGTAACCGCAAAACCTCAGTGTGCTACAATTGTCACTAACTTGTTGTCACTAACTGCATCGGATCGATTTGGGTTTTGATTAATGGGATAGGAAAATTTATCGGTTTTAACAGTTTTGAATGCGGTTTTGGTTTCGATCAAATTTTTCTGCGGTTTAGGATGATTTTTTCTACGTTTTTATGGTGTCTAATAGATCCCAATGCCCCCCTCATGAAGGATCCTGACTGGAATAGAAAAGAAAAAATTTTTTACTTTGATAAAATCTTGAAATCCAGAATGACATGAAAAAACCATGACCATATTGTTGAAAGCCTAGGGAAAAAAACCACCTTAGGAGCAAGCCCATTAGTGATTAAGTGGGATAACATTACATGCCACTTATCAAGGTATAAATCATCTTTAAAATAAAAGAGATAAACACTCAACTTCTTTAAAGTCTTGACTGCACCCATGATAGTGATTTCAGTTACCCTTTAAAAAGTTACAACACTTAAGCCAAATGCACGAAGTCCTGCGTTTAATAACATAAGTTCATATTTTACTCCTTTTAATTTGCTGTATATTTGTAACCCACATATTTTGTGGCCACATACATCATTTAATTGAAAAAAAGGAAGGTCATAGATCTTAACTGACAATTATATGAAAAACAATTTTAAGAAACAAAAAATTCAAAAAATGAAATTCATTTTAAATATTGAGCCTCTCTAGATGCCATAATTGTTCAAATTTTCAAGTATGCTTAATCACAAGCTTACAAAAAAAATAGTTTACATTGATAATTTATAACACATTTTTGTTTCTTTGCACCATAAGAGCAATGTTGACCCCGATTAATTAATAGCACTAATTTTAAATTCTTGTCAGGTAAGATCTTTTCCTTCAAAAATTCATGGATAGTTACATCACTTTAACATATGTATGCACAAAATTGTCAGAATTGACAAAAAAAAAGACACAAAAACATTTTTCTAACCTATTTTACATTATACACAGCTCATAAAAAAATAAATAATTTCTGCACCTTACTAAATACCATACAGTAAATATTTCTATTTTTCCTTTTTTTTTTCAAAACACCTTACTCAAAGCACACTACCAAATAGCAAATACCATGACGATTTTTTAAAAGCACCTCGCTCAAAGCACACTACAATTTAGAAAACACCATAAAACAATTTTTTTGTTTTCTTTTTCTGTTAAAGCATCTTGCTCCATGCACACCACCAAAGAGCAAATAACATATGGAAATTTTTTTTCTAAGGACTTGGCTCAAATCACACTATGAAATAGCACATACCATAAAGCAATATTCTGAAGCTCAAAGCCTACTACAAAGTTGCAAATACCATATATAATTTTTTTTCTTTTTTTTTCAAAGCACCTTGCTTAAAGCACACTACCAAATAACAAATACTGTTGCAAAGATATTTGCAATTATATCTATGAAGCTAACTAACTATTAAAATCAAACAAAACATGTGTGATGCCAGCATCACTTTTGGTCTCAAAAAAAATTCAGTAGGTATAGCGATACAAAAGCAAAATAACTGCAAATAAAGTTCATGCAACATAGCAAAAAAATATGCACTTAAAATAAATGAACCCAAGTAAATAAAATATACACAATGATACACTAGATGAGTGCCAATGGTTAATTTACAGACTGACATTGCCAAAAAAACATGCAACTGTCACTAAACACTGTATACATACATGATCTAACAAAGTCAAACACATGTCTGTGGCCTTCTACTTACAGTTGAGGAATTACATTGTGTCAACTATTCATAACATTCATACATAACCCACTCATCAATTACATCTACAACATCACTTCTTTTCATTCCCTCAAGTATTCTCCAAAATTTTCTGACACAGCTACCCTCCTGAGCATAATAAAACTTTGTTGTTATTAGATCAGTTGGGTTGCCAAACTTGCCAAGAGTAAGCCACAAAGTATAATCTCTGGTCAATCCAATCTCTTCTCCAAGAAGGCAGAAGTCATCAAAAGCAAAATGCTTGTCACTAAACACTGTATGCATTCTTGATTTAAACAAATTCAAACACATGTCTGTGGCCTTCTACTTACAGTTGAGGAATTACATTGTTTCAACCATTCATACTTAACCCACTCATCGATTACATCTACAACATCACTTCTTTTCATTCCCTCAAGTATTCCCCGAAATTTGGAAACACAGCTACCCTCCTGAGAATTGTAAAACTTGGTTATCATTTGATCAGTTGGGTTTTCCATCTGGCCGAGGCACAAAGTTTGATCTCTGGTCAATCCAATCTCTTCTCCAAGAAGGCGGAAGTCATCAAAAGCCAACCGCCTTACATCAAGCTTGGAACACATCTTTGAATGGAACATCAATGGGATAGCAGACATTTTTTTGCTCAGGAGGCTGTTTTGGAAATCCTGTGGAATGCCATTCAGTGAGGTTCCACACGTCTCACTGAGGTAGAGGCCCGTGGTTGAAGTGTGCTGACTTTTTACTGATGGTTTCTCAAATCCTATTAAATTGATAAGGAACATAAACTGTTAGAATAGAAATCAGTTGAAAGGTCACTTGTTTCCCTGTGCACTGGTCTGCTCTGGGTGGAAGATGCATTGTGAGAATGAAGTATCCTACTAAAAACAGTAAAAATGACAAGCCAACCTGGCTGCATGGGAATAAAACATTACAAAATGTAATAATGTCATTCGTTTTCTCTTTATGTTGTACAAAATTATTTAATTAGCATCAATTGACAAGCTTTTGGATATATACCTAACATAAAGCTTCCTGCCTGGTGTAGCCCCTTAATGGTAATCACAACAAGAAAAGTAACTGACATGAAATAACAAGATTAAAAATCTGAAATGTTACTTAATAAGAACAATGTCTACAATATATGCCATGCAGGGCCCAGTTGTATAAAGGTCAGATAATGCTATCCAATGGTTAAATTGAAAGCAAAATGCATAGCATTATCAACCCTATAAAGTTTATCCAATGGATAGCGCTTTCTAACCTTAAAACAACAGTAAGGGAAATTCATAGCACAAACCAAATGGCACAAACCCAAAGAACTTGATCTATTTTCCAAAGTACATGACTGTACTATAAGCAATACTGCTAATTCTCACAAAAAGGTTTGCAATGTGGAATTAAGAGTATCAAGTGCTTTAACTCCCACATTTTCCCATCATTTCTCAATTGAGAGCTTGCATGCTAACTATATATGGCCCATTTTTGTTTCTGTGTAGAAACTGGTGGCATATAACACATAAATGCCACGCTTCATTATTGCTAATTCACATCAACGCCTTGTGTCAAAAGAACAAAATTACGTACTTTCTGGCTTCCTTGGTTGACACCTGGCATTAATGGATTCTGAGGAATTCCTGTTGAAAACAGCCTCATCTGAAAGCTCAGTTGATGCTACTAGACCTGTAGAAATAATAAAAAAATAAAAACATAGAGAAATTGTCTAAATATTTTACATAAATAACATTGAAAGTTTCTTCCATGTGTCAGAGTCTCTAGGGAAGAAGTCATTTATCCAATTAAACTATAAAAAAGAATTATACCAATTTAATGATGCAGTATGTGCATGGCCATCATGACATCATTGTCAATCATAGATCTCACTGAATTAACAACATTATCTAAATTTACCTTTACGTGCACTCCATAATCATATAATCCATGTAATCATGCTCTTCATCTCTAAAAAATCAAATGATAAAGTTTCAATACAAAATGTGACAAAGAACTTACTGTATCCAATTCTTGATGGTTTGTTAAGTTTTGGACTTCCAACACACTGGATACAATTGGAATTTGATGTTCCCTTTTGGACCTTGGTATTAAGAACCCCTGGATGTGAAAATGAGCGGGTAAATCCTCTTTGGGTTTCCTTTGTTTCAGCTGGAGGCTGAGACTGCATTTGCTGATGAACTAGTGAGTCTAATAACTCTGACTCAGAAGTCTTCTCTGGAGTTTCTGGAAAAAAAAAAACGTGAAGCAAATTATTTCAAGATTGAAAAAGTTCTGCAGGGAGTGAAATTGGATACTAAGGGAGGTGCTGGTGACAAAAAAATGTGAAAAAAGGCTGGGAAAAAATTTGTATATTTTATTTCCTCTCTTTACTCACTATCATCTTTTAACTCTAACCACTAACCAATAGAACTCTTGCAAAAAATATTCAACACTTGCTCCCCCAGTAAACTGGAGATGAATCTGAAAGGCAGTGAATTTGGCCTATTCTATTGTGTGTGATTTCCTTTATAACAAAATTAGACTTATTTGCCTTATGTCATTGGTAAAAAAATAGAAATGTATTCCAATTTTTCCTGTTAGAACAAATTTCAATACCTAATTTAGAAAAAGAAAACAACATTTAAATTATGTTTCTTTGACAGCTGGTATTAAACCAATTAAGGCACAATTTCTTCCCCTTCATTTCAAAGAGATTTGATTTCTGAGCCTAATTCAAATGCTTCTACATTAAGAAAAAAATCAAAGTACATGTATGTCACCTCAGAATACTGAACTGATATGCACATCAAATGCCCACAATAACTTGGGAATATGCAATGCATTTCCAATGAGTTAAGTGAGCTTGCAAATGAGGTCATTGTATAGAGAACAGATGGTGCATAATTAAACAATTAATTACAAATAATAATAAAATCAAATTTAATTAACAAGTCTTTACCTGAGAAATTCTGTTCACTCTTCCCTGTGCCTAGTTCAGGGTCATACTCGGATCTCTGTATTTGGCCATCTGCTGGATCAAAATACATTGTGTTTCCATGACCATCTGATGCTCCAAGATGGCAGCAATAACAAAACCAACTCATCAGGGTATCTTTGATCACATGCCAGCCATAGACCCTACCAAGGATCACAACAATGATGATAGCTAAAGACAAAATTGCTCCAAGCACAATACCTACAACTTCCAAAGCCTCAAGACCTCCCTGGTCTTTGTCATTGTTGTTGCTTTCAGCAGTGCTTTTGGGAGGTTTTTCAGGACAATTTAAATTATGTTCCCTGCATTGTTTGCTACTAGAAAATCCAGAGTCCTCACACTGTTTTTCATGATATTTGTCACTTTGCCCACAACAGTCACTGCATGGATGACATTCACCACTGATCAAATCCATATAAAATCCTTTGTGGC